TGTTGAGGCCTTTATCCCATCCTCTTGGATTCTGTTCTTTCCTCAGTCACTCTCCACTCAGCAAAGCCCAAACCTCCAGGGCTCCCGTGACCCCTGGAATCCTATCAGTTTAAGTGCCTGGACTTAACTAATTCTCCAATGCCTCATCCATGAAGAGTCTCTGATGCTCCAATTGAGTCATTTATCCTTTTGTAATGGTTCCCTTTTTATTATGTGTTTCTCTTCAAGCCTGTCTCTACTATAAAGACTTCAATGACAATGTCTCAGAGACCTTCCCTGTGTTCACTGTCCCACTGAAAAGGGCAGAGAGTGACTTTGCTTTCGGAGATCTGCCAACATCTTGGCTCTGAGGGCTCAAATCTCAAGGTATAAAGTGAATCTTCTTTCTTGGGACCATTGTGAGAAGGCACTCATCCTTGGTTCTCCAGAGAGCAATAAAGCATACACCAGGCAAATCTGGCTATTATTGAACTAAAAATATATTTATCAAGAAAATACGGTTAATATTTCCAGGAAAATAGCTTTTTTTAAAAATGCTTTTGAAAAATAAATCAAACCAAATTAAAGCTTCCAGGAGACTCTCTGGAGCCCAGGGCCTAGGAAGGACTAAAAGTAATCAATAAATTGTTCTCAATAATCCCCAGGTCCAGGACTTCAGGCCAGACCACCAGGGAACCAGTCTCCAGCGGGGACTTTCTCCCTCGGCCCCATAGCCATGCTCTTATTTCTTGGGTTGCTAAAATAAGACTGAAGTGATAATCCTGCACAGTGGAAAGAAAGGCTTTCAGTGCACAAATACCTCCTCCTGAGGGGTGAGTGGCCGCCACTGAACGGGAAACTAGCCAGATCACAGCTAAATACAGCTGCAGCCTGAAGGCCTAGTCCCCGGGCAGAGGAAGCAGGTAAGACAACTGAGCACCCCCTGGAGGGAAGCCTGGAGGCAGGAGAGTCTTGAGCTGCCAGCTCACTTGCTGTGTTCTTGTCCTACAACAGTGAAGCACTGTTTGTGGTTCAAGGAAAGCCACGTGGTTTTATTTCTGGTTTACGGCCATGGTTACTTGCATGCTGGAGGGTGGATAGTGTTCATATCGCGCTTTTCTTCTCACTGGCACTGG